TTTTTTAAAAATCTGAGGATTTGCAGCTTCTCTGAATAAATTCAGGGATGTTACACCAAATGGAGATTTCTGGAATAGTATTTGCTGCTGATGCCTATTCATGTTTATTTTACATATGAATAACGTGCATATAACATAACTATTTCACTCAAATGTAGAAGACATTAAGAATCAATTAATGCCTGCAGAAAATTGTTTTTGATAAATCATAAATGACACAGTCATGTTCCATATACATTTCTTCCTTATTTTTCCTATTGTAGATGCTCTTTGTTACATGGTCAAATCTGGTGCTGAAACTCATTTCTGTGCACAGGATATAAGTAAAGCTAATTCATCATGAACTGATGGACTTCCATCACTCCTGAAAAAGTCCTTCAAATAATCAGATACTTAAAGCACTGCCATTTTGATCCAAAATCTTAGATTTAGATTAGGGCAACACATCTGTGCTAACTAATCTATACGAGGGCCCAATTCTCCATACAACGAGGTGAAAGAGAGAAGTATTTTTTAAAGGCACATTATGGAAGAAAACAGTAGACAACTTAAGTTTCACTCCCTCAGTTTCCTGAAAAAACTCATGCAGACGAATGCAGGATAAATTTAAGACAGAGTTGACTGTAATTTTGTACGCTAAGTCAGACACTGCTTTTCCTGAGAAGCGAATAAATTTCTAAACAAAATGATGACAGAAAAAAGTAGCCTCCAATAACTTTTTAGTTTGCATCTTGGATACCCATTTATATCAAAAGGCATTAGATTGTTCTCCTTTTTGAGGCAGGAAGTAAAATCAAGAAAAAGACTTGGGGTTTTATTTAATTCAATCATGTCCTACAAACCAGAAAGTCTTGACATCTGACACCACAACAATACTAGATGAAGCTTTCTGGTTTTAGATGCATTAATAATTTAGGACAATTGATCCTGGCATTTCTGTTCCAGCTGATTATTGCATTATTTACGCTTCTTTATGTTTTGGATTTCGACTCCTTCCTTTCTCCCTGTGAGCTGTAGACTGCAATTTGCTCTGCATTATTTTGCCTTTTGCCCAACAATTGCCTAAGAAATGAAAACAAATGGAAGGAAATAAACATACAAGCCACAAAGACCTAGCTTATGATTATTATAGAATTCAGTATTTAATCCTATGAAGTATTCTGGGCAGTCTGCAGCAGATAATGTCACAAAAAAAAAAAAAAAAAGCTCCTCACCCCATCTCAATCTATATCTTTCCATACTAAAATACTTTTTAAAGCCTAATAGATTTTTTGAAGTTTGTACATACTGGCTGCAGGCTTATTACAGCCTTCATGCCTAGAATCAAAGAAGCATTGACTTTTTAAAGCTAGCAAACAGGTTACACAGTTAATTATAAAAGAATAGGCAAAAGAAATGAAATGGCATTGTTAAGGTGAACAAAATACCCTCATTGTTCTGCATGCACAGACTCAAAACAAAACTTTCAGTTGCTGTCCTGATTTTTACTAGCATTTGGAGGACAATGGATATATAGATGGATGCTTATAAGTATATGAGACTTGAGAAACATGATATACTAGAATATTTTCTATCTAACAGAGCCTATTATATAAGCATCTTTTGCATTAATTTTTGATATTGTCTGACTTCATGAAGAACTTACACTGAATGAGATTGTGCTGTAGAACTAGTCCGAATGACAACTGTAGATCACATTTGAAACAAGAAACTGCTCAATCTTAACAAAATCTGCTAGTAAGCCAATGGTGTTTTGGAGCAGAGGTGATTTAAAGCTTCCTCTGTGTTGTTTACAGTCTGAATAATGGCAACAGTAAGAACTGCTCAAAACCCAACCAAAGGAGTTAGAGGACACTTATCTAATTTGCATATGGATACTGGACACTGATTAAAATGTTCAGAGACCTGAATCCTAAGACATCTTCTGCCTAAAGGCAGAACTAACATGTGACTGCTGACAAAAAGCAGTGCTTTAACCACGTGAAGGGGGTTAGTTATATCTCCACCATCACGGTTAAAGTTGGGCTTTAGCAAATAAAGGTAAATATTTGCAAAAGATAGAAAATAAAGAGAAGCTTCCTGTCACCAAAGATGGATGTTTCTTCATGGAGTCCCATCTGATCTACCTACTCTATATTGTGCTTATTAGCTATATTGACTACTTGTAGGTGGCTTCTTCTCAGCATACAAATTATCAAATTATTTTTTGCAGAGATATCAAAGGAAATCAAGCAGAGCATGTACACACTGTAAGATTTTTGAAACATCATGGACACTTAACCCTCCCATACTGACTTTAAAATAGCAGGTGCTTTCACTGAGATTGGTACCTAATTTTTAATTAATTTATACTCTCCTTTCAGTGCTCTGCTCAAATAGTATCAGAGTGTAACTCATAACACTTTCAGGCAAATTTACAAAAATATTTTAGCATTTAATATACATGTACAGGTTGGCTGTTAAAAAAGTGCTGACAAAAAAACAAATGATGCTTTTAAACATCTAACAATGTAATTAGAGTTGATAGAATAAGTAAATTTTTCAGTAACTACAAGTTTTAACAGGCCACTTGTTCTCAAGATTGCTCTAATCCTTAGTTCAGTAGGTTACTACAAAGCAGACAGGAAGATAAACTATTTTATCATACTTACTAAAACCTTAACACTAGCCACTTTAAATTTGTTCTTCCCAATTACTCACTAGTTTCTAGAAATTAAATTCCCCCAGATTATTTCCAAAATGCATTCTGCTTCAAAAATGATTTTTAGTTCAAAAGTATTATATAGTCAGGAATGGAAAATAACTGGCTCCTCCCCCCAAAATAATAATCTGTATTAGTACAAAACAGTTGAAGCTGTGCTATTAGCATGTACGTTTAGGAGAATGGGAGGATACAAGCGATGTAAAAATAATCTATGTTCTAGTCTCACTTTTACATAAAAAACTTTACTGTATCATCTATAACCTCTGGTTATTTGTAATCCCTCTTCGGAGACGCAAAGATTTCATATAGTCTAATACAGTCCATGAAAAAGGACGCTGAAGGCTGCACATTCAGAATATCCCACTTAATTTTATTTTTTTTTAACCAGAAGAAGCATTTTGAGAGAGATGTAAAACAAGCAGATAGTGTACATATGGCAAGCAATATTGTTGAGGCTTATTCATAACATGCCAACTTTATATTAAAAGAAACATTTTAAATAAGGATTTTGAGATATATTTGAAAACTGGAAAATGCAGAATGGTTACTGTGTTTTGTAACTCAATTCTATTTTCAGGAATACCATTTCAGAACAGTAATTTTAACAATAAAAAGGACAAGTGGTTTTCTGTGACACAAGGTTGGTGAATTACAATAGAAATGTATGTGTTACGAGATTTCCTAAATTTTTCTAAGACAAAAATTCTTAAAGAAGCTCGCCTGCTCTCCAATAGCAACTATCATACAACATTACAGCTAGAGATCAGTCTCAGGAAAGAGCGTTTTCATCAGGTTTTCAGCTGCTTGGTTTTATCCAGCTGCAGCTGTTTAGAGAAATAGTTGAGTTTGGAAATAAGAACTTGCAATATTCCACTCCCACTGTATCATATGGGTTAAGCAGTTCTTTATACTCCAATTTACATTATGCAACATGACAGTTATGATGTACTGTCGTAATTTCTGATTGCTTTCAGTATTAGTGTAGTATCAAAAATGTATATAGTTTTGTTATTAAGGAAAGCATTCATTCATATAAAGATATCTGACAGTAATCACAAAGGACCTCCAAATTACACTGAAAAAATATCTTCCATGTTCAAATACTTTGTGGACATTCTTATCATTATTTTGCTCACTGAATAGAAGCAGGATAAAATTCTGTCTGGAAAAGTACCGCTTCTTATCACAAGGTAAGTTCACTAAGTATGGAAAATTATAGAAAAACTCTCCCTTGACCAATGAAACAGTCCCGACTACCTTTAGCAAATTATTGCCTTGAACAGGATGTCCAATGGAATGGAATGGATTTGGAATGATTCTATTTGATTTCTACATGCTCAGTTACTTTCTGTCATGTTCATTTTCAGCCAGTAGGAAGAAAATAAATAAATAAGAGGTTGACTAGCTTGAAGAGAGTACAATGGGAAAAGTGCTTGTGTTAGGTTAGTACTTTAGATAAATGTTTACCATAATCAACATTATAAAAAATGGAAAGCTGTTTATCTTTCTTAACATTTATAACTCATTCACACCTTAGTTTTATTCTCAAATAAATAAATAAATAAATAAATAAATAAAAGTATTTTTCTGAGGGTATCATTTGTAATAGTTGGAAGCCTAAAAGACCAACAGTCAGACCACTAAGGCACTCATGACTTTAGAAAGCAAATATTTGTCAATTTTCCAATATTTGTCAATTTGTCAAATATCAACTTGCAAGGCATGAATATCTGTGTATGCACACATATGCACACATGAAGATTTGGACAATTATTATGCACCAGAACTGGTGCAGAGCTCAGAACAGGATCTTCTGAGTTGTAGGGCAAAGTACTCCCTACACAAATCTCTTGCTAAACATTAAAGTTTTGTAACACACCCCCACAACATCTGATACACAACTTGCATCTTATGAAAAGCAGATGAAGGAATGAGTTTTCAGAGCTGAAGATAAAGTGGGAAAAGCGGAAACAGGACAAGATGAAATACATGCCAACTAATTCATTCAAAAATAATAATTAAAAATAATAATAATACAGCAATAAAGACTATAAAGACTACTCTAATACCTGACACCAGAAACCCAAAATAGGCTGAAGGTCAAAGATACTTAGTTAATTTTCTCTGCATATTTTTTGCATCTGAAGAACACTCCATATGCCTCATTCCTTCCTGCCTGAAGTATTGCTGGTCAGATAGCTACCCAGCTTTATCTCAGTTCCACCCCCATTCAAAGCCGATTTTTTTTTCCCCAATAAACCAAATTACTGTTGAGGCAAGTACCATCTGCACTTACTTTGTTGCCCAAATAAGAACTGGGTGCACTCCAATAATAAGTCTGTGGCAGTACTTTACGTGCAGACACGTTGTTGATGCTAAGCTGCTGACGCCCACCAATACTCTTTTGCTTAGGAGTAACTCTGATGTGACCAGATAAGCCAACTAGATACCAACCATTCATGTCTTCTATCTATGATGGCAGGAAACAGAAAACAAGACAAAACATATTACAATCAGAATTATGACAACAATCATTTCAACTCTCACCATCTCTAATTATTTCATTTCCTTTTAAAAGTGACTAGGTTTATAAATATGATTAAAGGCAGTTTAAGAACAAAATAAATAATAAATAACAATAAAAATTTCTCTTATTTTTTTGCAGCTAGGAGTTAGAATTCCTCAGTAGTTTGTCTGAAGTATTGTGTGCTTTATATCGTTCAGAGCAAGGCAGAAGTTCAGTCTTACATGCATGATTGCATGATTCCTCTGAATATATTAAATGAGTTTATAATGTCAGTCACAAGAGAGTACAGAAAATGACCTGACATTTTCAGATTGTCATAGACAATATAATTCATACTAATTTGTAATTCTGAAGTGTTACAATTTACAACTTTGAATGTACAGGCTATTTACAAAACCTAAAAAAAAAAAAAAAAGCCTGTGAGCATCAAAACTCTTGCATCAGCAGAGATGAATGCACTGTTTATACAAGAATGGCTTCTGGAGGCTGGATATGAGCAGAACAGTGTGCTAGGTTAGCTGTGGGCTAGAAATTTTTCTAGATGCTGGCACACAGATGAACACACTAGGCATACGATTTTATTTTCAGATTTCTAGCATACTGTGCAGCCAAGACCAGAAGCTACAAGATCTGAAACATATTTCCCAAACTAGATCTACAGATATGAATATGTAGCGTACATCTGTTACAGTGGAATTGGTGTGTGTAAGTTTTGAGAACTAATGTAAAGTTTAGAGTATATTTGATGCTGAAGACATCTTTTCTAGAGTACAAATAAGATCACTTTTATCTCACTTTCACATATTTTCCTAGGGATGCAGAATGCAAAAAAAATACACTCAAAATTACCCCTGTAAGGTAACTTTTTTCCTTATGGAAGCTAAATGTTGTACATTCAGAATGTTTCAAAATTCTTAATTATTTCATGTCTACAAATCTAATATTGACCTATAAAAGAGGCTTGCTCTGTGGATATATTACATTTAATTTAGTACTGATTATGCAAGCATAATCTGGGACTGAAGCACATGGCTTCATTTGTGATGCTTATAAGTTCTTTTGCACTCCTCCCTACTCAATTGCATATTTTTCAGAACTTCATCAGATGAAGAAAATACAAAGTTTTAAAGTATTTTCTTCATGATAAATGACAGAATGCATAGGACATAAAAAAAGATATATCGTGTTATATAGTAAGATGCACACTGGTGCCAGCAGAAAGTGAGAACCCATAAAAACACAGAATCAATGGCATATACTGATACAGCAGGAATTTTCTTACATTTCTGTATGTAAAGTGAGAGCCTGTGCAGGCATTTGTTTTCCCAGAGCAGAAACATTCCTCACAGCCTTGGGGATTATTTTGCTGCAGATTGAAGAAGCCTGATTTGCAACGATCACAGTTTTCTCCTTCAACATGTTCCTGAAAATGCACATTAGAATATTACTTCAGTTGTCATGGATTAGAACTTGAGATAACCAGCTTTCATACTCTCTTTTGCTTTAATGCAGAACTACAAAGATATTTATAGGAATCACTGTTCTTATTTGTAAATAATCAGAATTAGATCCTCTACACAATAAGCTAATAAACTTACCTATAATGGCCGAAGACAGAATTTGGACTTCATAAGATTTTTAATTCTTCTTCCATGTGAATACATGTACTTTCAGGACAAATCTTATTTATCTCCTGTATGCTTAAGGGAGTGAGAAGGGAAGGACATATGGGACAAAATGTTGTGGCCTCAACCTCAACAACCTTAGTTTGTAGGTATGGCTGAAGAAATCAGCATTCACAGGTGACACAAACCACAAGTACTTTGTGTTAGTTTTACCAGTCATTCTGTCATTATCAGTTTTTCAGTGGCCTATGACTAATGGTGGAATCCAGGCTAAGTTCAAGAGTGGAAAGGGCTGCATTTTCACACGTGTTTGACAGCCATGCAGCCAAGTTACAAACTCTTCTGCACAGAAAGCAGGCACTGAACTTGAAAGATTCTAAACTTAGCATTTTGTAATTATGCTTTTCAGAGAAAACCTGCATTGTGCAGTAAGTCCTGCTTACCTTACCCAACTAATCAATTTGCCCTATAGGAAAAGATAAAGCATTCTTTTCAACAAGAAATACGTTGCACAATAAATATACTATGGCACTGGCTTAATAATTCAATACAGACAGGACAGAATTTTTTTTCTGATTTCTGGAGCATTCTATATAGTTTCTTTAATCCTGGAAATAATGCTCTATGGTGTGTATACAGGACTAAATCGTTGGCTGCAAGTCAGCAGAGAATGAACACATTATCAAAAGCCTGCCCACACTGTGTAGTCTAAGCTTGCTTGAAATTTGTTGCTCTGAAATAAGTTCAACAAAAGGCATATGATAGCCTCTGGGCGAGAATGCTGCAAAGATGGAGGAAAAAAAAGGCAAGGTTATAGGAGATAGATTAAGAGAGACAATAAAAGGGAAGGTGATAAATAAATACGGAGAAAAAAAAAAAAAAAAGAATAGACTGTCACTACTGTACTTGCTCTGAAGTAATGCCTTCTATATTTTTTCAGGGAAAAATACAACAGACAGAAAGAACACTGTTTGACAGAGAAAATTTGCAGCTACAAAACGTTATTTTCCAACATAGTCACCACTATTACCTACACATTTTTGCCAATGAAGAACAAGAGCCTGGATGCCAGGCTCGTAAAATCTGCATGGCCATCCAGAACATGGCTTGAATTTCACATATCAGTCACCACTGCTGAAACACAATACTCAACAACTCACTGTGCTCAAATACACTGTTTAGTCTCTATAATTGTTCAGCAAGCATCTGTGAATGCCAGCAGGTGATTTTTTTTCCACAGGGAGGAATTCAGCTCGTTTGCTTCATAGGCACTTCCATGTTAGGAGTCCTTTAGTCAGACTGCCCCTCCACTGCCATCTGCCACACAGCAACAAAATGTAATGGAATATGGGTGGCAAGGTTCTACCTCTACTGCCACACCACCAACATTCACCTCTGATGTTGTGGGGCCAACACAATAAAATAGGAGGCATTACTTTCAAAGCAGGCCTTTTACATTAAAAACATATTTAGCAAAGTATCTTCACTCCATCTCTATTATTGTACTATATCTATTCTCCTCTTCAAGAATATAATATAAAAGTCTCTTCAACAAACTAAAAATCTCCATAGAACAACTCAAAGTTGTGAGTCAGCAGCTTTCACCTTTGACCTCTCCTTAACGATGATATTTTTACCTTTTCACCACCAATTTCAGTGTAAATCAATTAACATATTATTGTCATAGGCTTGCTGAAATCAGCCAGATTGTGATTCATTTTAAAAATAACAGTATTATAACGTATGGGAGTTTGCAGGCACACAAATGCTCTCGAGCTCAAATGTAGAAATTATAGTTGTGAACGCTGCTCATAAAAGTTTCAGACCTTTCTGAAGTGTTCAGTGTGTACAGATTGGGAAGTGGAAAAAACAAATAAACAAAAAACCACAAGAGAGCCAAAAAGCAGATATACCTGTATAAGTATCTGTCCTATTCTGCAGTCACAAGAATGACATCAGTGAGTAAAACTTGGATAATTCTTTTCAGTAGGTATGAAGTTCACTGAATAATGGACACAAAGTAGTAGAAGAGATCTAACCTTCAGACATTAAAGCAAAGTTTCTATAGACTAATTTTTTTCTCAATGTGATTTTTAGTCCATTTTTAACTGATACAAAACTTTGACCACATACCTTCAGAAAGTTTTCTGCACCAATCCATGATAAAACAGACATTTATACTTGCTGCTCATCTTTTTGTACATCAGTTTATTCTGGCTAATGTAGTAGAAATAACAATCTAATGCTCATTTACATTTTGATGCTCCCCTAAGAATTTTTTTTAGCAGTCAATTTTCTTAACAAGAAAACTATTTTTAGTAAATTTCAGACCTCATTATATGTAATTGAAAAATGAGATTAAAAGAGGGGAAGCATTTTTCCTAAGACCTGCTATTAACTTGTCCAGACATCCCTCTTAAGTCTTCATATGGAGCATAACTAATCTGATGATTTCAGTGCCCTTTTGACCATAGTCTTCTTTGACTTGAGTTTGAAGATTTCTAGTGAAAATAAACATGTATGTATCAGTATCTAAGCTGTCTCAAAGGATATTATTTTTTTCTACTATATGCACTTGAAAGGAGATTACGGGAATAAAAAATGAGGTAAAGAATAACCAAGAAGGAAAAAAACTGCATACAGAGTGTGTATGCTTTGGGATAGGAACAATATCTCTATTTCTTTTTCACTTATTTTAGACTGATTTTACCAGCAAGTCAGTTTGGTATTACACAAATAAAGTAAAAAATAAGAACTACTCAGCAATAGTTATCTTTTATTTAGCATATGACATCATTGTTTCAATTCAGAATGTAATAAATTTTGGCCTTCTAGACTTACTGGTCAATTAATTAGAACTGTAATATGGAAAGATTTTATTTTTGATAGAAAGCATGCAACTGCTATATAAAGTGAGGATAAGGTTAATTCTCTGATTAGATTTCAGTGCTGCTCGGCTGTCACACCAGAGTGCATGCTGTATGAACTGACAGAGTCAAGTACCTCTTGTACATTCTTGTACTTAGGGATACAATGTAAGAATTTTAAAATTCACATTTATTTCTAATCCTGTTAAATAAATTTGGTAAAGAAACTTTCACAAGTACGAAACACAAAAACTGACCCACTATACCATAAATTGTCCTTTGGTCATGTTCATGCTAACTTACTAAACTGCGATTTACAGAACATCACCACTTGTAAAGCATTTTTTTTTTTTTTTTTTTTGTAAGAGGTAGATGCAATTTTTATTTAAAAGCACTTTCTTTTAATTTATCAAATTATCAATGTATAATTTGCTGGAGGTCCATAGAAACAAACAGAAGAAAAAAACATTTTAAAACTTGCTTCTTAGAAATTAAGAAATTCATTGCATAGCAAGGATGACTAAAAGAAAGAAAACAAAACAAACAAATAAAAAACTAAATATGTTAGAAATTTCTATAAAACCATTCCAAGGCAAGAATGCCCTCTGTATGGAATTTAAACGGAGTATTATGGAAAAAATGCTGTTTTAAGACACCATCTGTTCAAATATTATTCTCATTTGAGGTCATATTTCAGGATAGTTTTAGAGTCCATAATACTTTAAACATGTAGATTCTGGACAGATGAGAGGTAGGAATTCAAAGCAAGTAATTCACAAACTTCTTAATTGTCCCTTCTAAGACATGCAACAGGCTACTAGATACCTAGTTTAATTACAGTGAGTTCCAGGGTGATACAGAACATTCCAAGGCTTCACAGGACCAAGAAGAACAGTTCTTTGAGTACTGACTGCCATAGACATTAATGCACGTAGGTAGGACAGTGGAACATTGCTAAATGATAGAAAATCATTGACTGCAATCTTTCAGTATCATTAATGTCATCCTATGGCTCACAAAAATTTGATATCCATACCTTACAGACGCAGAGACCTACACAAGGGTCAATATTCACACTGCCTTCCACTGAGCAGTTGCAGGGCAGGCAGTCAGGATATCCCGTATAACCCAATGCACATCTACTGCAGTGCTCTCCTGCATAGCCAGTCTTGCAGTGACAGAAACCAGGCAACATATCTATGGAAGAGGGAAAGAAACATGATACAGCTTTGATTTATTATTACTATTATTGGATATGTTTATTAGAGTTCTTAAAGCAACACTGTTTGTAGGTGTAACATACTCATATATACTCTGGAATGTAAGTGTAACAAACTCTGGCTCAGACGTACACTGACTCAACTCAGTATCCTGTCTGCGAGCTGAGTACAACTATTATGAGCTTCCTGAAATCTGTATGTTAAAGATCTACTAAACTGTAACGTGTCCCTAAGCCCTGGCATATAGCAGATTGAAAAAACAGCCCTTCCATTATCTTGCCTAACTGCTTTTGAATATGCTTTTCTTGCTGACCCATTAAGCTCCCCAGCAGTAAGTTCTGCATTTAGCCATGTGTAGTGTGAAATTAAATACTGATATACGCTAAATCTGTACTTGTTGCCCTTTAAATGTCATATCACAGAAAACAGCAAATAACTGCTCCCTTCTCACCATCTCCATGTAATCTGTGATATCAGTATAACTCTGTCCTATCCCACATGACAATTTTATTTTACACGTCAAAAACTTCTATGCCTATTTAATAGCTTTTTAAAAAGAAACTGTTCTGAATAGGTGAAAATCCCTATTACTTCTCCACTTCCATTTCTAATAAATTATTTAAGAAGAAGGTATAGTGCAGACTTACAAATAGTATGACTGTTTTTTCACTTTTGCTTTTAAAACATTAGTAATATTTCTTAAGGCTGTGTTGACCTTTTACTGCTGCTGAGCCAGCACTGAGCTGATACTTCCAAGGCACAATCCAAGGTAATTGTAAGAGCTGTTTCACAATTGCTAATGTCTTATTCAAAAATTACTGCAGTCAATGTGTAAGTAGAGCTACATTTTTCTCCACTTAACTTTTCATTTAGTTGCTACAGAATTTCATCAGTTATTTTATTACCCATCCACTGACTATCTTAAGATCTCTGAACATTTTGCAGCTCTTTCATTTTACTGTGCTGAAAGATTTTGTACTTGCAAACTTTGTCACTTTGTCACCTTCCTACTCGTCCCCTTCGCAGGTTAAATATGAATATTCTCAGCAGTTCATACTGATCATCAGTGTGAAAATGGTCCATTTATTCTCTTAACCAAGTACTCATCTGTGACAGAATTCTTCTTCCTCTTTCTATTCTACTTTTCTCATGGTATTTGCTGAAGATTCGTGAGAAAAATTTTCAACATCGAAGTATTTTATTAGTCAAGGTAACCTTGGCTTCTTCAAACAGATTCATGAGGAATACTGTCCTTCACAAAAAAAACAAAACAAAACAAAAAAACCCTGATCTTGAGATTTGCCCATTTTAGCCACAGACTGTTAAAAATATAAATCTTTTCTTTATTTTTCTTCTACTGATTTTCTTGATACAGAAACCAGATTTCATTATTTTAATTTCCTGAAACCCTCTACTTTTCTTTTACAAACAGGATAAACAGTTTATAATTATATAAGATTAATTTGGATTTTACAAAGTACTATAAACTTCATTTATAATGTTTCAGCAACTTCATTTTTAACTACCTCCTGATACCATGCATACGCCATGCCATATATGTCTAAAATTTTTCTATGATTATTCGTCATCTTGCTCAACAACTGACACATCTGTTTGAGACACTTCTTCCAACTTGCCCCATATTTCCATGAAAAAAATGGGAAATTCACTGAGCTCTTCTATTCATCAATACAAAGAATTCATCTAGCTTTTTTTTTGCTATTTCTTGATTTCTTCTGTTATAAATTGATTACACAGATTTTACATTAATCATTTTAAACTACTAAATTTCAGAATCCAGTCACCATTTAGATTTTGATTTATCTAAAGAAGTACTTAACAGCAACATTTAAATATTTGCATATTATTTTTTAAAATACTTTAGCATGTGGCTAAAATTATGACCTTATGGAACCAGTCATATTCATTTAAATTTAAGACTCTCCTTCACTGCCCAGTCAGTCCATCGTTTTTAGATTTTCATCAAGAACCTTCCTTTCCTCTCTTTTCTTAGCAACTGAGAAAGAGAGATCAGGATTTGAAATGCAATTTTCACCACCCTAATAAATTCCTTATTCCATATGATTCATACTGTAGTTGGTATCTACCCTTTAAGAAGCCTCACATGCTACAACAGAGGGAGGAAGACTTTAACCCATTAGATATTTTTCTAGCTCTTATGATTCTTGATATAGTAAGGCTGCATGATACATTTGACTCACATTTAATTTACAATGCTATCATACTGGCAAAACTTAGGCTCATGTTTCTATACAGTACGTAAATTCTTTGTTGGTGTACCCTTGATTATCTTTACTAAGATTCCGTAGTGCTTACTATGTCAACAGGCTAATTAAATTCTGAATCAAAGTAAATGTTTCACATCCTTCTTTTGTTGCCATTGTAAAGAACTTATAGTATACATTATGGCTTTGGTCTATTATTTCATAGGCCTTATCTGAATAGGGCTTTTCACTGTTTTCTATATGAATATTATCATTTTCTGACATATCTCTGAATGTACAGAGGTTTAAAAGTTCATTCTGGAAGATGAGTCATCTTGAAATATCAGTATTATCAGCTTCTTCCTAACCTACCCATCTTTCAAAATTATGTGAAAATAAACCTATGCAAAATCATGCTGCAAATCCTTGAAAAAACTTGCAATCCAGAGACTAACCTTGTCATTCTCATTCCTACTCAATAGCATATATATTTCAAAAATAATATTGTGGAAGTTGGTGGGTCTGCTTGCTGAACAAAGGTCTATTAAGCTTGAATAAAGACTAGTCCTTATTTATCCTACAAGGTCTGAGAAAATTTTTCAGCAAAAGATCACTATTTGGGTTTATATTACACATAAAGAGGTAGAAGCAAAAACAAACAAACAAAACCACAATACTTCAGTGCACAGTAGCATTTGAATTATGAAATTCTGTAAGTCTGCAAACTTTGCAGATTTTGCAGGTACTTAAAAGACAGTAAAAATGGCTGTTTGCTAAAATGCTTGAAAAAGAGAGTAATGATTTACAGAGAAGCCTAAATGTTATAGATAAAGTAGCTCAAAATGCATAGATTCCATCTTCACTTTCATATGGACATCTGTAAGTGATCTCAATGTCACAATAATAGGCAATAGTCAGTTATCTATTATTACCTATTATTAGTACGGACTAAACGTGAGTGAACAAGTTAATTTTAAAATACAATACATGATTGCCTGTCAGTTATTTTACCAGTACCACAATTTGTAAACATATCATGATTCACTGAAAGATTTGGCTCTAATATTTATCTATACTGTTTCTGAAAGTATCATCTATTGTTGCTATCAAACAATATTTGAAAAACATTCCTGGACATGCAAACTGAAAATATACTATAAAAATAAGAAGAATACTATTTCATCTCAGAATGATCAGTGAGATATATAAGGATACAGTTTTACAAAGCTACTCAAAATTGAAATTACGCATGTTTAAAATATAAAAATATGTCTTTTTCTGCAGAAACAATCAATTATAGAATGATTCCTATAGGCTCTTCTCTTATCTTCCCCTGGCCGGAAAAACCTACATATGCAGCCTTTGAAATCCTCTTGTTGCACTTCATCTGTGTACCAATCACTGTGATATTTATTACAAAGATCTGCTTTCACTGTTACTTACCTACAGTAGTGAGGCACACAGAAAACATACAGCATTCAGATTTATTTTCCTTAAGAACAGTTCACAGTGACTTCATATCCCAATGACAACTATATTTCCACTTTAGTTTAAGGGTTTTTATCTTATAAACTAGTTTATTTTCCAGACCTATAAGAAATACCCCTACAACCTGGAAGAGACCATGGTGGGACAGGTGTCCACGCTAAAGACTATAGAGAACCCCAAGAAGGAGAATGGGGATAGATCCTGATGGAAAAAGGTCTCACAGAAAACCCACAGTGCAGATAATTTTTTCCTGAAGGACTGCAACCCCTGTAAAAGACCCACGCAACAGCAAGGTAAAAGTGGGGAGGAGAAACGGGTGGCAGATAGTAGCTGTTATGCACTGACCCAGCTCTCTCTGCCGGTTGTGGTACGGGTGAGGAGGTAGAGGAGCTGAGAATGAAAGAATGAGGTTGAGCCTGCAGATATATTTTACTTTTTGTCTTTGATCATCACTATCCAAATCTATTTAAATTGGCAATAAATAAAATAAATTTTCCCCAAGTCAAGTCTGACAGCAACTGGGAAAAGATCTCCTCATCTTTATCATCAGCCAGGAAATTTTTCGTCTTATTTTCTTCCTTGTCCTCTTTAGGTGGAGGAGTAAGAGAAAGCTGGGCTAACAGCTGGCAAATGGCCAAGGTCTATCTGATACTAATCACTGTTGTGATAGTAATCAGGCTCCATCATTGTATCTAGAAATTTTAGTTTCATTAAACTGAGGTAGGTAGTACTTAATTGTTATAGTATATTTTCATTGATCTCCATTAAAAAAAAACAACAACAAAACTGCTACAACATCTCTTATCAATAGATTGCAATTAGCCCAATTATAATATCTTGTAAGAACTGATCTTGAGTTTTATTGGCTTCCTATTGTACTTTCAGAAGTTTGCCAGCAAAATATACTGCAATCCATTGTTTCCAAAGCACTAGTCAGGAATTTATTTCATAAAAGAAGATAGGTTTTTTCATGGCTACCATAAAGAGCTTGTAATTCTACACAGACATTATATGATGTATTACATTTCAAGCAATTTTTTTCTAGGGTTCAAATTCAAATATGCACAGAGAAGTAAAGTGATGTAAAGATAACACTTGTACTACTTTTAATCTCTGATGTAAAAGAAGAAAGCGCTGTAAAGAGAAAAGTTCCAAATATTCCATGGGCAATACTCTCCCAAATGTACTGCGTTTACAAGCCATATATCTGAAGGAAGTTTCAGAAAATCTGGAAATATAAAATCTGAATTTCTAAAGAAAATTGTCATAAGAATGCAGGAAAAGGAAAAATATGACTCAGTTTTTCTTCGACCACTGCTGAATTTCGGCTTTAATATCCTTTATCTTTTAGGAATATTACCTCCTTCTGCATGTTTTTCATCTTTGACACAGGTTTCATGTAAAGACCCATTTGGATCACAGGAACAAGGCTGGCATGGATCTGGGCTATCTGGCAATACCTATGGAAAGAGAGATATTACAAACCAAAATCATACTTTTAATGAGTGGAAACACTTACTTGCTTTTTAAACAAAAATTAGGAGAGCTGCATTCTGTGTAGGAAATAAGCAAAAAAGGATGGTTGCCTAACTCAGCTCGTGCACTCTTGACTTAAACGTTCCATTTTAGATTTTCATCAGAAACACATAAGTCTAGATACAATTAGGATTTCAACAAAACCAAAACAAGTATATAATTATTAACAGTGAATTGTACCATTAAAAGAAATAATCAAGTATCGTAGAATCATAAAATGGTTTGGGCTGGAAGGGACCTTTAAAATCATCTAGTTCCAATCCCCTTCCATAGACAGGGAAACCTTCCACTAGACCAGGTTGTTCTAAATCCCATCCAGCCTGGCCTTGAACACTTCTAGGAAGGGGCACCCACAACCTCTCTGGGCAGTCTGTTCCAGTGTCTCACTATGCTCATAGTAAGGAATTTCCTCTTAATATGTAGTCTAAATCTACCCTCTTTCAGTTTAAAGCCATTTCCCCTCATCTTAGTCTTATAAAAAGTCCCTCCTCAGCTTCCACTTTGACCTCCTTCAAGTACTGGAAGGCCACTATAAGGTCCCCTCAATGCCTTCTTCAGGCTGAAGAACTCCAGGTCTCTCAGTCTGTTCATGTATGGGGGTGCTCTAGCCCTCTGAATCTAAAGTAGATTTTAAATATCAATCGTTTGAAGTAGATTTCAAACATTCACTGGTCAAAGTAACCTTGACAAATAGTTTTTCTGGTCAACATGATTCAAATAACTAATTGCTGTTTGTCAGTCAATAATTAAACAAAAAGGGAAGTGAAAAAAGCCAAACAATTTCCTATCCTTCCAAAAAAGGTTATATCAAACAAAATTGATCTCTAGTTTAATACTACACTGAGGATGTAAACTACATATATTTTTATCTATATCTATAATGTATATAGTAAGATATAGTTCCTATTATTCAGATGGCAATCGATTAATGAATAAATCAAGTGTCATACTGTTGAATAGATCAGTACTCCTCTTCTACAAGCTCTAAGATTAAAAACACAGTAAAACACTGTATCGGGGAGAATGTAATTATTGTTATTTGAAGATGTTTTCTGTTTGAGGATTGAAAAGCAATCAGACTAATGGGCATGATTTCCTCAACTGAAACTACGCAGACAAAATGTCAGGAATTTAAACACACACAATTAGTGTAGCTATTTAAAGCACAGGCACAGCCTATATTGGCAATACAACTTAATATAATGTTCATCTTCTGACAGCATCGTTTTAGAATAAAATAAAACCTTCTATGCTGAAGCACAAAAAACAATTCTTGTTGCACTAAAATTAAAAGCATTCTTGGACATTGTGAAATTTCAGTTATTATTTTTTCTGTGTTACCTTTAAAAAATAAAAATTACAGACAAACTTCCTCCAGTATTGAGTGTTGCAATATTTCTTTGGTCTTTGATAACACATCTTTAAATTCATTACTGAGGTAAAAGTTCTGTTTACAGGACTCCATTTTCCTTTTAGCTGATATTAGATGGAGGCTCTGATCTCAGTACATTCCTTCATATCAACAAGATTTAGTTTCATATTTCTGTGAACATTAACATTAGAGATTTCCAGCTGTGAAGAGCAATTTCTACACTGTCAGAATTAGAAGTTAACACTCATAAAATAGCATCCAAATTCTGTCAGCTCTTTTCTTAATACTAAATTCTCCATGCTAAAGTGATAGTTCGAACACAACAAATTACAGGGAAGTGACAACAGAACACGCATTTACCCCTTCAGGTCTGAAGTAGCCATCAACACAGGTCTCACAGTTTATGCCATCAGTGTAGCTTGTACAATTAACACACACTCCACCCCCGATGTATTCTCCAAAAATATTCAAACTCTGATTTCTGTCTGCCACATTCTGATCATAGTAACATTCCTCACTCTTCCCATGACAGTTGCATGCTAAAAGAGAAGGAGGTATATTAGCAAAGACCAAGTTATTAAAATCAGTCTTTCAGCATTTCATTCATTTGTACAACAGGCATTATAATTGAGAAGACATTCAGGCATTGATTTTCTACTTCATCTACAAAAAGCAATGTGGTCTAGTCACAAACACAGCCTGAAAATTTGCATATTGTATTCTTTTATTAATATTTTATCTTAGAGGGCAATGTCGTGGACAGATATAAGTTAATTAGGTTCTTCCATTTTTATTTTCTTCCTTTTTAAAATTGATGATCCAGAATTTTTTTGGTAGTTGCACACACATACAGCTCATGAAATAGCAACTTAAAATAAGAGGAATCTTAAAAAAAAAAAAATAACAGAATGGCATGAGTAAATTAAAATAACTTCCATGAAAGCTAAAAGATGTCCAAAAAGCACTTGTTTTTCACATATGCATATAAAGAATTAGGCCAGAATAACAGAGATTTCCAGTCTTAAAAATTTTGAGAAATTCAGATCTACTCTGAAATATTCTGAGTTCAACAAAAGTTGAGTCAAGAGTCAACAAAAATTATTTTTCTACTGACTTTTTTGAGTCAGTCTAAATAAGGGAACAGCACTGATACATCAATAAATGTGGTTAGAAATAATATAAACTGCAAAATCATTTGAGACTCAATTTTAGTTTTCACCAGCAGCTACAGTAATCCTCTTCTGTTCTGCTTTCAACTTACGTTCACATTCATGCTTAACCAGGAAAGTCCCAGCATGCCAAGGTTTTTGATTGAAACCAGGACAACACCGATCACATGTCTCTCCACAAGTGTTGTGCTCACACTGACAGACAGATTTCTAATTTAAAAGAAAAACAAGTGTTTTCAAAATGTGATGATTTGAAGAATTTGTTCCTATAAGTAATCTGCATTCCAGTTGAAATTATGAAAACATTATAATGAATGGCTAAAATCTGTAATTCCTTTGCTTACTCATTTTTATTTATGCATCCTGTATTCACTCATGAGAGACAAAAGTTTGTTTAACTTAAATAGTTCAATTTTTAGGAAAGCAGCCAGAGTGTGAAGGAATTTGGCCAGAGAATCTGAGGAGAATCTAAGAACACAGGAGTATCTACTTCCAACTTACTGAAGCAAGAAGAATGGGAGAATGAAAGTTTCCCAGTGCAGCAAATAAGAAAGATTTCTGGCAGTCCTCAAACAGAGCTTTGCATTACAGGAAAACTGACTTGATTGCTAGCTTACACTAGAAGGGTGATCCAACACCCTTCACCCTTTTCACCTACATGCAGCACTCCTGCAGTTGCAGAGTAACATCAGATCTGCTGAATGATTCCATAAAAATAGTCATCTTTTCTTTTAACTTTAAGATTATTTTTTGCTGGATGATTCAAGTCATCTTGTAACCTTCTAATTGTACAGCTAAATAGCATTTGAGGACAGCAAGTGAAGGTTTAAACAGGAAGTGGTAGGAAGATCACCACCCTTGCAGTGGTCTTTCAGTTTCTCACGTCACCTCAGTTCCAGCTTAGTCTCAACATGAAAATGTTGTTATAGGCAGTGTACAAACTCTGAGCCTCAAAAGAAGATGGGGAAAGAAAGAAACAGTTCCTTACAGACAGGAGCAAAAACTGACTTTCCAACTGTTTTTCAGTGGAGCAGATATCCCGTGGCCCATGAGAGCCCTCTCAAGGACAACATAGCAAGTTTACCTTGAGGAATTCTATGGCTGACCAGGCAAAATATGAATCTTGCAAAACAAGGACAAGTTAAAGAATGCTTCAGAACAGCAAGACAGTAAATTCAAGCAAGTTTGTTCTTTTTAATGCTAGAGGAAAATTTATAGAGTCACAATGTTTTACAAGCCAAAATCCGCCTATCTCAGTATGGCTCGTTATAGAGAGTATCCTTGAAGATCTAAACCAAATATTCCAAATCTCTTATGTCTTCAGTTGTTTCACTTACTGTATTTGTGATACTGGTTAGATAATATATATTTGTCATCCTACAAAAGATGATACCACACTTGTCAAAATGATCTTCTAATCAGGTATCCCAAGGATCTGAAGTCTGCTTTCATCTGCAACAATAGCTGTTTTTTTTGAGGTAGGTCACATGGCACGGAGATAACACAGCAGTTTGATAATGAAGACCATCTATGTCTTTGAAACAACAGTACATTGCTATACACATCACTACTGAAAAGACTTGCAAGGATTAAACTAAGGAGTTTGTAAAATTTTTGAAAAGTACCATGGAAATTGCTTAGAAATGCTCATGCAATATCTGTCAGATTTCTTCTTGTTTTTTTGTTTGTTTGGTTGGTTTTGGTTTGTTTTTAATCAGTTCTTATGCAATTGTCTTGTCCAGTATCATACAGAAACAAGATTTCCTGTTACACTGCACAAAAATTCTAATTGAGTGAACAGCATATGAAGCGCTCCCACATTGTGGCACACCAGTAATATTTGTAGATTGCAAATTCTGTATTTGTGATGATGTGCATTTTGACTATCAATAATAAATTATATTTCTATATTTGTTATAACAGCTACATGTTTATTAACAGTGTAAAAAGAGATCTATGTTTAGAATAAACAGTGAGCAGTTTGTGATTTTCAAAACTAGATTGATTGATCACTTTTCATGTATAGTAAATATGCCGTTATAATTGTTTGTTTGCAAGTATCAATTAAATACTTGTCAGTTACTTAGGAAATATCTCAACTAATATCAAATAAGAAAAACTGACAGTATTCAATTCTACAGATACATAATGTAACCCTAATTTCTGTTTGTTTTACTAGGAAATATTTAATATGAACAGAATTATCTGAAATCTATTCTTCCAATATAGAGAAAGCTTCTGCTGATGCTGCATGAGTGACAACTGTTCTGGTTGCCAGCACTATTTCATCCTGGCATAGCTTCTGACTGTTCTTCTAGGTCATGGGTGTTCAATCTTACAGATTGCCTAGGCTACACTAAGTGAAAAGAAATTGTTCTAGGCCACCTATTAAATATGTAATATAGTTAATGAATATAAACAATAAAGATTATATATAGAGAGAGTTATTAAAACATTAATATGGAGGGCAACACAAACTTAAAATAAGTGGGCTGAATAGATATATTCTAGATGAAGAAGAAACGTAAATTCACAAAACTCTGAGGAATGTCAAATTCTTTCTTATGTTCCACCCTGTGAATAAGGCACATCTAGGATGGGAGGGAGGAAGGAAGACGAAAAAAGAAAAGAGAGAATAAAAAAAAAAATACATACATTGGTCACTGGATCAAGTGGACAAGCCTTCGCATGGCCTGAGCATATGCACATGCCTCCAACTGAGATATCTTTTATAGAATAGTAATACTGTAAGACAAAACAGAAATTGAATTGCTGAGTGAATTGTAAAATGCAGGCATCAAAGTACAGAATTCATTTCTGGTGACAAAACTGCCAGGTCCTGTTTTACTTCTCTTTTTGATCTATTACAAACATAATATAAAGTATAATCCAGGCTACATGTTGACCAACAGATTCAGGCTTAGTGAGAGAAAGTGTATAAATTGGCACAATTCCATTTGTTTGAAGCCACAACAGCCATGTCAGTTTATACACAACACACACCGAATATAAACATAGGTAATATGCACAAAGGATAATGAAAATTCAAATGATGTAGAATTTAATCCCTTCAGAAAACATCAAAAGACAAATGCACAATAATGAGGAGAAAGGAAAGGTTAGGAACATCTTTCTTCACCTTACTTGGGTATTACTTGGACATCCTCTGAGCTGTGGAAAGAACTGCTTTTTACTTCAGAATGGCCACAGAAGAACCTTTGATAAGATTTAAGTAGTTTCTGACCTGCTGCTCTTACATATGACCATCTCTCTTGGGTGGAGATTAGCACCCTAACCAGAAAGGAGATTGAAAAAGCATATAACATAGAATCCTAGAATCGTTTGAGTTGGAAGAGACCCTTAAAGGTCATCTAGTCCAAATCCTCCGCAATGAACAGGGAAGTCTACAGCTAGATCATTCAGTCTCACCCCGAATGTTTCCAGGGATGGAGCAACCACCACATCTCTGGGCAATCTGTTCCAGTGCAACACCACCCTTATAATTATATTTTATACATTTTTGAAAAGCAAACATTAGGTGACATCTTCTCCACTTTTGTCTGTTATGGTGAGGGTCCTCTAACATTTTTACAATTCGCTAATCAGTACAAACACATGCAATTTAAAATTTTGCTCTTTCTGTGCTCAATCTGTTTTTCAGATTATTAGTAACTATATCAAACAAAGCAAAAACTCATATAACTCATTATTAACATTCCACAACACAGAAAATTTATCAATTATGACTATCCTTTGTTTCCTGTTTGTTGGAATGTCCTGATCTATAGGAAAAGCCAGAAAAGTATTGCAAGTTTCAATTGGTCCTTGTTCCTTTGAAACATATCTCTACAACAATCTCATGAAAACTTGTCATACACAATCTATTGTTCTTCGTTGGTTTGAGAAATTGGTAGATTGTTCTGCAATAGGTTTTAATGAGTACACAGTGATTTTTAGAGTGTGAATTGAGATCTTAAATTCAATTTTGTGATTCCACTCACTTGGAATCACTAAATGCATATACTTAAATAAACACAATTTTCATGATTAGTGAGATCTGCAATAACTACACTCAATTGAAATCTATTTTGGGTTTGTGGTACTTAACAGAATGCCACATTCCAAACTTTTAAGTATCCTGCTTCACAGGAATTTGGAGGAAAAAATGAAAACTATGAAAGTGGTGTAGAAAAAGAACATTTTTCTCTTTACAGTTATCCATCACTGATAAATGACAGTAATTAAAGCCAAGAATGCCAGTTATTACAGTGGTACCCTAAGCAACTCTCCAAAATTAAAATAAGAAGATCAACAGAAAGAAATGAACAGAAATGAAAAATGTGGACAGGTATACACTCCCTAACATAGTTTTAATGAATGTTTTGTGGAAAGAAAAAAAAAAAAGACAAAAAAAGCAACTTGCTTTTTTTAATAAAAATTACAGAAATGTTATTTTAGAATAACTTGCAGCATTGGAGCAGCAGGAAGACAGACATCTGTCATATAAAGAAAGTATGGAATGTGGAAAGACAGAGGGTGTGTACAAACAAATAACAGTGGAGAAGACAGATGTGGTGTGAGCTTGAATACTGCATCCATTCTTTTAAACAAAAACAGGATCTAAAATTTCCCTGCTAGAAACAATCATATAATAATGCTAAAAATATGTTGCATCCAGGTATTACTGCTACTAATACTACCAGTACCAGAAACTGTACTCAGAGAAAATGTTCAAGGATTGCTAAAGGATTGAGCAGTTGAAGAGGCAGGAGGACATTATCTAACAGCTGCCATTTGCCAATTATACCTGCACCAGAATGTTTACATTCAAGGCAGCTCTATGTTTACATATGTTAATAACACCATTAAGCAGAAAACATTAAACTCTGATTTCTGATATACAAACCACTGAGAATATGAGGAAATCCTATTACTACCAGTATTTTCACATAATCTTCCAAAATTTCTTAGGCTAAACAAAAGGAAGTACATAATTTCTAAAAGAACTTCCATGCATGTATTTCTACTGTCTTGCCAGAACTTACCCTCCTTGTAACGATGGGATCAATTTCAGTGGGATCTTTGTGTGCGAACATCATTAAATCAGCATTTAGTGTCCTTATCCTCTGAAATCTCAGGCGAATAAAGCGAGCAGAGGTGAATTCCAGTAACGCACGTGAAGGATCATCAGCACTAGGCCGTCCATTAATTAGAGAAGTGTGAATCTGGAGACAATTATAAAAGCAACTAGCCATTAGATGAAAGCAATGCTGCCATGATTAGGCCACTAAATACCATTAAAAGCACTGTGTGAATGCCTTGTAAGTGTAAAATATCTTCATCTGTATAACTTCGATGTCTCCACAAAAATATTCCACGTACTCATTAATCCCTTTTTGAGCAAAAGAAAGTCATAAGCTATGGAGTAATTATAGCACAAACTGAATAAATCTACAGTGCCCTACAATAACATCCATGCTCCTGGCATTTCATTTCTTCTTTTCTAACATTAAATAAATATTTTCAAGTTGTTGAACAACTGAAGAGATTGAAAATCTGATTTAAAGGAATGGATACTTGGAATGGCACTCGGAATTCACCAGGGATCAGTTTGCACCTTTTAGAGCAGTAGTTAGCAAAAGACTTGAGCTATGTTTTTTCTAAAGCCACAGTAAGATATCTTCTGAAATCCTGAAAACTACAGCAGCTGGATGAGATAAAATGAGCACCTCCCACTTTCTCTTCACATAGTATAACATCGCCTTTGAATCTTGTTCTTAGTGAGCTGATTTCATTTTCTGGGTTGCAACAGTTTTCACCCAGTCCCTAAGAAAAGCTTTTAAAATTTAATAAAATGCTGTTCAATATTTGTTTTTCCAAGGATCCACTCTCCATTTACAGTTTGGTTTCCATAAAAATTTTCCCCTTTTTCTCTTCCTAAGTACTAGAAATCTGGGTAAGTGTGCCTTGTAACTCTTTCAGTAAGCCGCCAAAGACTCCAGTTGCAGCAACCAGGGTAAAGCAAAAAAATAGGCAATTTTCTTCCTTTTCCTGCCAAGATGAATACTTTTCAGCTGATCATTGTGCAACATAGAGTAGCTGTTAACAGAACAAAACAGATGGTCTGCTACAAAAGTATTCTTAGAAAAGTCCTACAAGAAGAAAAATGTCAGGTATAGCAAATATTGGTAATGAATGTCTAGTAGAAGGGAGGAAAATAAGTTTCCTATATTCTGAAGTGTTAAATTTTAATTAGGGCACTTTTATTACAGGCTGGTACACTGAAAGATGTTTTGGTGATGAGCTAAACAAGCAGAACATTAGAATGAATAAGATAATAATTTATTCTTCATGATGTATATGTTGTGCATCTCACCTCAGCACTCCAACTGAAAGGTCAGGCCACCCAGCCATTTCCTGTCATTGAACATGATTGTATTGCCATGTTTAGAACGCCAGAGCAAGAAACACCAAATCTTTACTCCCTGCAGAGCAGTAGTTGTTACTCTCCTGGAGTTTTTGCAGGCACTGAATAGAAGGCTTATTGAGTAACAGCTGCTTTGCACTGTTTAGGTGGTAACTATTACCTTTTCATTTTCATTACCAATGGCGTAACCCTAAACCTCATCACATTCAGCATCCTGTTCCATTGTATCCACAAATGCACACTGAGCCATTCTGCTGGAAGCAACTTTCCATCATTTCTTGCCCAAATAGCGATCCAGGTTATCTCCGGGAAGAAGTAATATTGCTACCTCCTCCTGAGATCATAACAACACTCTCACTTTGAACTTTGACTCAGTTTTGCTCCTGACTACAAGTAATTAAATTAGACAGCTGGCTGAAAAGAAACAGAATAAAATGCCATGAAAAAGATAGAGTACACAAAAAGATTATACTAAAGCCCCTGCAGGAAATAAAGAGGAGCTCCTGAATGAGAAATGTCTGGCTATAAGCCGGACAAAAGCACGTGGCAAGCAAGCCAATTGCTCAGGTCCCCAGTGAAAATAGAGAGGTGAACATGTGTGGAGAGTAAACTTCAAAAGAAACAGGGAGATGGTAACAACAGGTCCAGCGAAAATCAATAGAACTTTCCAAAATAAGCAAGATTTTAGGAATAACAGATGCCTAAAACTTCTTTACACATTAATCAGTGGGCAAAGAAATTCTTTTTTGTTTCTTTTTTGTTTTTATTTTTATTATTATCAGCTCCTTCCTTAAACAGAGATTTAAGAGATTCCTTTCTTACAGGCATCATACATCAGGGCTGTGGTCTTAGAGAAATACTGAAAACTGAATGTTGATATTCCAGTCAAGGAGAAAGAGTACACACAAAGTAGCACTGAAAACATTCAATCATTAACCTTCTAACAACAACAGCATCAGGGTTATAAGCAGCAGTCTGACTACCTTTACAAAATTGAGAAAAAAATAAGATTTTTGGTGTGTTTGGGGAGAAAGATATAGATTAAAAATCCATGCACTGTAATAAGAAAGTGCTCATAGAGGGTTAAGTGTATGAATCACAGGTGCAGCTTGACCCCAAATGACACAGCTGACAAACAGCAGTCATATCTTCTAATTTTTTTTATCTCTTTTGTTTTTAAGAGAGAAAAGATTTAGTCCTAAGACACTTGTTAGGGGAAATAAATATATATTTTAGAGCAACAGTTTTACAGAATTAAGATGTAAATTAATAAAGAAATCCCCAAAGCTTTTTTTTTCAAAAGAGACTCCCTTTTTAAAAGGTGCTAACAGATCTGTTTGCCAGCAATACATCTATTTTGCAGAGACAACCTAACAAATATGATAACATTCATTTATATCATCTTTCATATTTGTGATGAAATGTTCAGAAAATCTGTATTTTTTGTTGCTTTTTTGTTGTGTTTGCAATATTTATATATAAAGATATACATTTTATTATTTTAAACCTAAATCAGGTCATAAATTGTTTCAATGGCAGTGTTTAAGTTCTATATTTGATGAAATTATGACTCTCCATTTCTTTTAATTTTTGAACATCAGAACAAGTTTTTCAGAAACCTGTTGAGAATGACTACAAGTTCTCTAAACTGAAGACAATTTAATCCAATATTCAGCCAGCATTTAAATACTTTTTTGACATTATTTTTTATCAACACTAAATTTCACATTTTTCTTCTTTGTATCATACAAAAAAAAAAAAATTAAATTTGTGTTACCAACTGCACTACACCTGTTTTGTTTTGTTTTTATTTTACTTTCCAGTAGGCTGAACAATATAGATGTTACCAAAGATATTCAAATACATCTCAGTGAATTAGAATCTCTGTACTGTGACAGAAGCAAGTGAACTATGGCAACCTGTGTCATACAGTAACCAAAACTACTGTAGCATACTATGGGTAGGACAAAGGCAAGCATACCTAATCATTCCTTGTACATAGTTTCCACACACTTGGTAATCCTCGAGGGATTTCCATGAACTCAGTCAATTTAAATCCAGATAATCTTTTGAAGCTATGCCCATTATGTAATAATGATTTTCTCACCTGATTTAGATGTTGTAAGGGAAATAATCAAAAGTCTCCTTTTGCTTGTATTAAACCTAGCTCCTAATAAATTCTCATTCTTCTATCAGAACAAACAAGTACATATATGTCTACCAGATCTATTCTTTATCAGATTATTTTTTGAATTCTTAATTAGGTTGGCACAGCTTTCAATCTTCAGTTCTGTAGTTTCCTTAGATTCCTTAGGAAGGTTTAAAAAAACCCTGGCGCTTAATCTGATGCCCTACACTCTTCTGCTACTGAGACTGTTTTTAAGTGAGGAATTAAATAGTTCCTGCTGTAATTCAATTATTTTAGACTTAAGTTACTCTTCACTATTAAATTTATCAATTATTTCTATTCCTCTTCAGTTAACAACCTAGTTTGTGAATTCTCCAATTCCTATCCAGTAAATAATGTTTCCCATGCAGAAACTCCCTTGACACTCTCTACAATGAAAACTGATTCAAATCATTAATTTAGCTTTTCTGCAATGACCTTATCTTCCTGGAGTGCTCTTTGATCATCTCTCAGCCCACCAATTCTCTGACAGACTTCTTGAATCTGATATGCTTGAAAAAAGATTATTTCAACTTCATACTCAGTAAGACAAAAACCTTTTTTGAATCTTTATTGTGGTTTAACATTTCATTTGCTGGAGCTTATTTTCCTCTTTATTTTCCTTTTTTTTTTTTTTTTTTTTTGCTTGTTTGTTTGTTTTTTGTTTTTTTTTTTTTTGCAGAAAAGATGTGACTTCAGAAAAGAAGCTAGTTTGCTTTTAATATCTTTTATGTTTCATTAGTTTATGGCTGAAGTATTCTGCAGTATTGTTGGAACCACTTTTAAATGTAGCATGCATGTGTTCCAAGTGCACATGATAATAACATGACAGTATCTTTAAACAAATTCTAGAGAGTCTGGAAATTTTTGAGCTTTTCTATTTTTAAATTGTACCTCAGCAGATTAAAAAAAAAAAAAAAATCTGATTATTTTTACATGACAGTTGTTAAACAGTAATACACCTAACAATAATACACCTAATCTGTGTGTTGTTCTGCACTAAATCATTTATTTACTAGCTGCACTCATTGACCACTCTCTGTCTTTGCTAATTGGTCTACTTCTTGAGGCTGATAAGTTCCCAATGGATGGCACTCCTTTCCTCCAGCACGTCAGCAGCTCCATTCAGATCGATGTCACCTACAAACTTGCTAAGGTTGCACTAAATCTCATTGTCCAAGTTACCATCAAATTCACACTGACTTCTTCATATACTGTAGGCTGTCATTTATCTCCTCTTGTGATGCTCCTGAGTGAAGTAAGGCTTAGCTTACTCAGATGCCTTGCTTAAAAGAGCTCCCAGTCCTCAGATCTGATACCAGACTCTGAACCTATTCTGTAGTTGCCCATCTGGAAGTAGAGGAGTCTTCCTCTGGGAGTCAAAAGTCACCAGCCAACAGGCAAAGACTATGCCTGCCTATTCTGTGGTACATTTGCCAGTTCAGGCTTCAGAGAGAAAAGTTGGTTAAAATCTTTCCAATCACCACTGGATGTGCAGTCTGCTGACATCTTCCTGTGGTTCTTTTGCTTGGTGTCAAAAAACCCCAAACAGAGCAGACTTTCCACAGACAGGCACACTATCTCTTCATACAAAGAGCCACAGAGATGAAGAGATGCATCCTCCCACAGGA